CACTATCACTATAAGCTAGAGAATTTTCTGCTATTATTGAAGGGCAACTATGTGCCTGCATAACTTTGTAAGCTTCGTTTTCATGCTGTAATGAATATAGAGATGAGTAATTTGGCATATGGACACAACCAAGATTTTTCTATTTAAGGTATGATGATTTGAATGGTTATCTGCCATTCCGATTTTTCTTTGGTGAAAAAACAAAATTTCCTCATATTTATTGAGAATGAGAGAATTGGTTAACTTCTTTGTGCCTTTTCTTCAAAGGGAAATAGACTCTACTCAAAATAAATCTTCATTTGATGTGCTGTTTCTAGAGATAGATACCAAACCATGCGCAAAAATTTATCTCAGCATTTGTGGAAGCTGCAAAAACGACCAAAATTATTTATTAGCCAACCTAATCAGTGGCGTACCCAGGATTTCGGCTCGGGGGGGGGGGGGGGGCGCGACAAAAATTTTTTTCTAAAGAAGGTGCGTGGCGTTAGCCACGCACTCCGAAAAAATTTTTGGGGTGCTTCTCAAAATTTTTCCGGTCCCCGACCCCTAAAATCTGGAAAAAGGGGGCGTGGCGTCAGCCACGCCCCCGAAAAAAATTTTTTTATAAGGCTAAAATGAATTTTTAAAAAATTTTAAAAATTATTTTAATTATTTACAAGTAAAAACAAGTCACTTGCACATTTTTATAACCCATGTAAGTAACTTTCAAAAATTTCGCGACCCGTTCTCGGGGGGGGGGGGGGGGGGGGGCGCGCCCCCCCCGCTCCCCCCCCCCCCTCGGTACGCCACTGAACCTAATATTATACATTTAAGGGTCTACAGCTCCTTCAAACTTATTTTCGCACTACGTTTTAAACATCTCTGCTGTGGCTAATCTGTGAGCATTTTCACTTGGGAGAAAGCATATTTTACGTAAGCAGAACTCTTTTGAAATTCGTCAATCGCATCATGGACCATTAAAAATTGATGATTTGTGCGTCAGAGCCGGAACAAAGAAATCGCTAAGACGCTCAATCACGGACCTAATTGTTGTCATGATTCTTTCCTTCTGAATGCTTATGGCTATATCTCGTAGACCCCAAATGCCACGATTCTTGGAAAGTATAATAAAATGTAATGGCGAGCATTTTTTTCTGGGCAAAAGTAAGGATTATAATGTGTACATGTTTTGGTTATGAATTTTCCAGCACCTGGCAATTGTCCAATTTTCTGTGTTGCGTCACAGAATGAAACCCATTTTGTGCAAACTCTTTTGCATGCTTGGTTTGCAGAATGGATTTGGTCAAAATATTTTTGTTTTGCCAGGTTTTATAGCAGTCGCAGAAATGAGGAGTGGGAGGGGACAGAGCTCGACAGAGATTTTGTGATTTTCTCGAACTACGCATTATAGTTTTCTAACTGCTTGTAATGCCTATTCAAGCTAGATATGCTTTCCATTCTTTCTAATGCAGAACATTTTCATTGGTAGGTTGCCTGGGGCTGTAAAAAAACAGTTGAGAACGCACCAAAAATCAAAAAGTGGACCTTGAAAACTCCATTAATCGAGTGGTTCTCAGTTCATTTGAATGAGGTTTATTTCATAATTGCGATGGCGAAAAAGCAACAAATTTTTGCAGGACCAGGTCTGGGTAAGTTAAAAGTGCCAAAAAGCAGAACGCAACCTTCAAAATATGTACTCTGACAAGTGAACTCCTTTCTTATTTTTGCATAACGTTTGGGTTTTCGAATGTTGATAGACAGAAAAATCACTGATTCTGCTTTAAAATTTTCAAATGTGCTTCAAATCGATACTATTTGAAGTCTGGTTTATGGCCAACATCTGCTCATATCTCCTGATGCTTTTATACTGGACTTATTTCGCTTTTTGAGAGGTTTAGTTATGGCCATCTCATATCTTTCGTTCTGCATAGTTATTTTATAGCAATCTCTACTGATCTGCATTTTTTACCCAGTTTACTTCTCCCATTCAAAACTAAGTTTAACTACCAAGAATTAGGAGGAGGACCAAATATTCCCTGTGTTTGGGCTCCCTCCGCAGCAGAACTCAATGCAATTATTAGATTGGCCAATTATTTCTGTTACAATTCCTATGAAATTTGAGGCTTTCAAATTTTGTGCTTAGAGATGAAGTAAATCAGCTACTCATATTTCGCAATTTCTCTCTTCAGCAAGTTCGTAGCAGTTTCCTGCACGTAAGGAGTTTTTCTTTTTTCTTAGCATTTCTTCAGCATTTCTTTGAACTTTCCCTCTAAAAATTTCTTGAAATGTTCGGCACCGTCCGATAGCTGCAGTCTGGTGCCTTTAGCTTTCAGAGACAGATTTTGGAAACAAAAATTCAACGTTTACACAAATTTAATATGTGTATATGTAAATAATGGACAAGCTCAGACGACTTTAATAATTATTTCAACGAAGTTTCCTGTTCGAATTACTAATAAATTCTGACGTAAAATCATATGCTAATTCAATAACGTCAACATACGCAAAAAACAACAAAAGACTTTACGCCTTGTAAAAAATTTCAAAATCTAAAATTATTATTGATAAGAAAAGCTGCCATATTGAATGCAACTTCCGCAGATGCGAATCACTTCCTGCTTTCGACACCTTTGTTTCTCTTATAGATGGCTGCTTTCGTTCTAAAATTACCCTGACTGTAAAGGAGAATCTAGTCAACCATTGGAAATTTCATTTGCAAGTCACTGCAGGCGTTTCGGGGACTGGTGACGTTGGTTGTGAGAAACCGTTTATCCAGCATCATTATTCACGTAAGCGGAAATAACCTAATTTATGCTTGGCCATTTCCCCACGGACCAAACTGAAAGAAGTTTTGTTGGTGCTAGTTGCTACAGCTCTGCAGTAGCGTTGGTTAAAATTTCCGTTCAAACACGGCTTTTTTATAGATTTGAGCGCAAAGGCTATGTACATAATTTAACTATTTGCTGTCTAAGGCTACCTAAATTTTGTACCGTTCCAGTTACTTCTATTCTTGTACTCCTTTTCTTAGACAAAATTTACAAATTCAACAGGTTTTTCTGAGTATGAATGCCAAAGGTGAAATAACTTCTCGAAGCTTTCAATTATTCACAGAGCTAAACGCTGCGAAATCGAATTCTAAAGCTAAAAAGCAGATCCTTTAAAAATAACCGAACCATAATCCCTAGGCAAAATGCAAACACTCCCGGGCACTATAAACTTTTTTCTAGCAGGCAAATCGAACGGAGAAACTCTTCTTTAGCTAAAGACTCGGTCTCAAATTTCATAGCCAATGTCATTAAAAGGCGCGGGGTATATTATGTTGAAATTATTGCTATCGACTTGGCTCCCTCCAACGCCTGTTGTAACTCTAATAATCAAAGATTTATCACTACGAAAAGAGATACCATGATTTTATTCACAGTGCTGATTGGCAGAAAAAGATCTAGAGGTTTCATTCTAAATGTGACATTTTTTCCGCTTTTTTCCGCCTTGAATGCTGTACCATCCTGCGTCATCTTTTTAAAGCCAATTTCTGTCAAAGTGGTAAAGTCTTTTTGAGCGCAATAATTTCATACCCTATCTCCGTTGAGTTAAAAACATGCCCAAAAATTAGCCTCACTTTGACCACATCTCGTCTTTTATAACGCCACAAGCTGTCTTTTTCTTTGATTCATTTGAATTCTGTTTCAAATATGAGCTCTCTGATTTTTTATCTCGTATATTTCATCAATAAGCTCACGAGAAAACGATTATGAGATAAGACAAACCGTAAGAAGCATCTCTAAGCGCCGATTTCAGATCTATGTTCACCACCTGCAAAATATTTTTCTGATATATACATAAGCATCTTTTCAATAATATTTTTATGTAGGTAAGATCCATCTTTGTTTAAAAGACTACTTGCTTCTCACTGGCTGTTAAGAAGATCTCCAACCGCTATAAATTTGTCTCAAATCTGGTAAACGAAGGAATAAGGGCATCCCAATTCGGTAACTTTGATCCTTAGCAACAGCATACGATATGTTCTTTGAGCACTGTAAATCTCAGATCAAAGGCGGCCAAAACTTTGCATGACTTTTTCCCCAGAAGCTGTGATCAAATAATCTCCACATCCACTCCGCTGCAAGAACTTGATACGAACAAAGATCCGACATAACTAGTGACTTCTCTATTTACTTGTCGCACTGATACTAATGTCTAGCGTAAACTTGCGCAAATTCGAGTGTGTTTGAGAACGACATGGATCCACTCACTCTCGTACTCCATAATCACTAAGCGTTCTCCGGCTCTGCTCCAGAGGCGAATGACGTCCACAAGTGCGTCAGGATATCCTTTGAGTGTTTGAGTGCTAGAGCTAAATAAGCGTCATTTATTTCCAATTTGGAACAAAAAGCAGCTCCGCAGATGAGAATTTCATTAAATGTGGAAAGTCCAATTTAGCTACGTGCCTTTTTGTTTTGTCCTGTCATAATCCGTCATTCTCACACTTGTTTATTTCTATCACAATTGTAATCATATGTATCTCGGTGTCCTTGCGATTCCAGAAATTGAGGAGGGGCAGGGGATACAAGATATAGCAAAAACTGCAAAAATTTTTGCAGCAATCGCAGAATTCACAAAATTATTCTGCTTATAAATTTATAACATGCTACCTACACAATCTCATTAATCATTTACACTACCTCCCCCTCCTCTTTTCGTTTGCCACTGCTTCTGTTGAGAAATTATGCAGTACCTTAGAATTGCTTCTATTCTCAACCAGTCATAATTCTAACATATATTCATTGACTCAAGCCTTCGTTTGATCATTGTTTCATTTTCTTTCTCTCTTTTATTTGTTTATCTATTCATCTAAACACTCATTCATTCGTTCACATTCATTTTCATTCATTCATTCTTTCAATCATTCATTCCTTCACTTCAAAATTGTATTTATTTTCACTCCTATTTTTTTCTTCTACAGTAGACCATGTTGCCTAAAAGTTACATTTGCAAAAATCATTCAATATATGGAATTTCAGACGACGCGAAGGAGAATTCGGAAGAAATCCTTTCAAGAAGCCGTGCGTCAAGTTGTGCTGAAGCCATAACTCCAAGAAGCCAGTAAGTATTCAATATTCTTGAAGATCTGTACATTTTGAATCTGATCTCCCTCCTGTTTAGACTTTCTGTCTGTCGAACGCACAGTAGCGGAATCGGCAGTAGCAGTATGCAAAAGGATCACACCCATGTAAATCATAAGTCCTCTCCTGTCCATGTACATGAGAAACGTGAGCATTAGGAATTTTTGGTTCCCTCTACCCCACCCCGCAAAAAATTTATATATCACAATTTAGCCGTCGTGAAGAGTGCCTCTACCAAGAGCGCCAAAAATGGTGTCTCTCCACTTCGATCACAACTCTCCAAAGATCGACCCACATCTAGCAGCGCTCACGGTTTGTGTTTTCTTGTTTATAAAAAAGATATGGATAGTCAGCCAGTCATTGCAGCTATTTCGGCTCCTATGCCGACGATAGTGTCCTGCTTGAATCTAACCGGTGCTCAAATACTGTTCATTCGAAAGACATGGGCTCATGCTCGAAATCAGGGAGCTCTAGAGCCTGCACTTAGCATATTCAGGTGAGTGAAGATAAACTCGTATGACGTTGGACATGGCCGCGGATTTTTTAGGATTTTTATCTAATCATCATTATTTTACATAACAGAGCAATTTCGGTCTCAAGCGTCTTTTTTTATTCAAAAGGCTAGATTACAGTGATGTTACTAAAGTCAACACTAAACAGCGGTGCAAAAATCAATCGGAATTCTAATATACTAAGAATGTTCAAAATATTCCGTGTACTCTCACATCAATTTCTGGCAGAATTTTTTTCTAGTGCTCTACTCTGCTTCCGTCCGCATTCATCGAGAATTTGGTTTTCAAATCTGTCACATTTTTTATGAGCTTTGTGCATGCAATCAAATCTAGATTTCTGCCAATCTGAGTCAAGACTTTTTTAGTGCAATTTGATTATCATGGCAACTACGGTTTATCCTTTCTTCGAGCACAAAGAAAAACTTTGATTTTCGTTCCTTCTTGAGCGTGATGATCGATTTAGATTCTGCCAGAACACGCAGATAATTTTGCTTGTGATATCGTTAGAAGCTGATCGAAAATTTACAAGAGAGTTTGCATCTTTCGAAGCATCTTTTTCACAAAAAAAAGAGAGAATATTGTAAAACAGCTAACAATCAATCCAATAACATCCGAGAGTTGGATTATTGCTATAGTTCTAGCAATAATAGATGTTTTTGTTGCCTATGTTTCTCAAACGATCTGTAGTTTTCTTTTCAGAAATTCTTTCTTCAAAAATTCTGAAATCCGTACAATAATGATGTATGGAACGAAAAATGAAGGGCACGAACGGCTGAAGGTAAGTGCAGGCCACATCATGATAACATCAAGCTGTTGTTTGAAGCTGTACAACACTCTTTGTATGATTTTAGAAACACGCCCAATCTTTCACTACTATTATGGACGATTTGATAGCGAACTTGGACAATCCGACCGCTACGGTAGCTCCGTTACGAGAAGCTGGCGAGAAGCATGTCTTTCCTACAAGGGACCAATGTAAGCTATTAAACAGCATTTACAAAGTTTTGTGTGCTATGTTTTTACAGATGGATGTCCATTCCGAGCTTCACTCATGGATCAGTTTGCCTCTGCGATGATTGAGAGGACATTGGAATGGGGAGAGAAGAAAGATAGGACAGAAGTGAGTTTTAGGAACAAAGTTGTCGTCGCTGAACTTGAGGGAATTTCTGAAACAATACTCTTAATGCCTAAATGAATGGCGTAATGAGCTATCGGTTGGCTGTGTGGGCGCCGACCTTAATGCGCGTTCAAAAACGAGCAATAAAGCTGCACATTTCGACTTTGAATTATACGTGTTTGATCTTTTGCAATTTGGAATAGCCCAAAAAGGCACATGCGTGTCCTGCAAGATCTGCATAACATAGAAGAATAGCTATGGACGTGGGCGATCATCTAAGATATTGCTTTCATTTCTTATCCTTTTCCTTTACTTTTGATGCAATCAAAGCAGGCAAGCGACACCATTCGATAATTTGGACCTTTTTCTAGAAGCAATCTTTCTTAGAGGAGGATTTGATATCAAACTAATAGCAAGTTTTATGTCAAAATCATAATAATTAACTTCTTTCAGATAACCCAGATGGCTTGGACAATGATTGTTTTATTTGTGTGCGAGCAAATCAAAGAGGGAATACACGATGAGATGAAACGACAACGAAGGGTTCGACCGCGACAGCTTGGGGTGAGATACTAGGGAGTTTTTTGAGATTTTAACATTATTTGTAATACAAGCTTCAAAATCGGAATGGACGAAATTGTGGCTAAAACATGTATAAAACATCTTGAAGATTTTTTACAGAATTTATACAGAAGGTATCTAAAGTATATTAATGTTAAATATCCTATATTGGTGCGAACATAATGAGCGCATATGATAAGTTTAAAACCTTATTATTGCAGAATAGTTTTCTCAGATTAAGAAATGTTGCAAAATCTGACCATCAGTGTCATGCATGAATGCTGAGAGATTCCAAAAGGAAAAACTGTTAGGATAAAATTTCTCTACTCAAACCAAAATGTCGAATGTGAGGCAAAGTTACGATGTTAAACTCAATCAGCAGTGTTTGAGTTGCCAGAAAAAGTATTGAGGTTACCAAATGTCACGCTTGACCTCATCAGCAAAATCCCTATACCACAATTTTTCAAAAGTACCCTTTTGGGACAAAAACAGCTGTACTCCGTATATTCTCTGTTAGCTTCAAGTTTGCTGTATCAGCACAATTTTGACTTCTCTCATTATCTCTGCTGCCAACGACTCGCCGTGCCTTCTAAAGTCTTAGCAGCTAACTTTATGCAAACAAATTCAGCAAGCAAGCCAATTTTCTTTTACAAATGTCAGCAATCAGGTCACGTTGACAGTTCATCGTTGCATTGGTCCACCACATTATCCTCTGGCTTATTGAAGGATATGATCTGCAGAAATGAATGAAAGAGGCATTTTTCCAATTATCACGTGTCCACAAATTACGCTGACAAGTTTGTATCTAATTTGAAAGACCTTTTCTTTCCAATTTTGTATACAACATTCCATATTTCCATCCTCTCAGACAGTCGACGGCATACCTCCCAAGCAGAAATGGCAGAGCCGCGGGGTTTCCCCAGCGGGGGATTGCCACTCGTGCTCTGGAGCCCTTTTGTGCTCCGGAGCCCTCCCATTTTGTGCCTCGGAGGTGTCCCAAATCTGGCGTACCTCCGGAGCGCAATCTCTGCTCCGGGGCTCTCCCAAATCTGGCGTACCTCCGGAGCAGAGATTTGCACGTCCCGGAGAGGGGTCCCATTCGCCTGCATGTGACATCGCCGTGACCTACAAGAAGGGACCGCCCCCTCGCTCCGCTCTCATTGGCCAATTGGGTCCTCCACGGCTCTGCCAGATTTCGACTGTCCTCCGGAGCTACGGACCGACTGTCTGAGCTAGAAATTCGCAAGCCTAATGCCGCCAGCACCCTTTTTCACTAGCTAATTCCCACTCAAACTGAATCATATATTTACCGAAAACGGAGAGGCTGCTGTTAATTTTCTAAAGCTATAGTTTTTCAAACTGATATGTCAATGTAATTTGTGAACAATTACTAATGATCTAAACCTCATAAATTTATGTAAATTGGGCATGCAAATCTAGCCGTTATTCAGAAGAGGGGGATGCGCAGTACGATAATGCGTGATTTGTTAAAAAAGCAACAACTTTAGCGAGAAAACATGCTCAAATTGACTCGAACTAAGGACGATTTTTAGTACCCGCTGTAGGAACTGTTCATTGATTGGGCAATCTACTGATATAATCACTCTTTCAGCATCGTTCGGACCTATCATCATCCGAGACAGTAGGCTCTCCATTGGCGAGGAACCCACCTGAAATTAAACGATACAATACGGTTGACAACCTCTGAGTCTATAGCAGATGTCGGTCACTAGGATTTCCTCCAACAAGTTATCGCTAAGTGCAAGCTCTGTCTTAATTAGGGGCATCACTCATAAACGTCAAATGCATTAGAGCATGACTCATGAACACATAGAAAAGCAGTCAAAACTATAACTGGATTTGGCGCCGTTTGCCAGTTGCGAGTGATGCGTCTACACATAATGAGTAACGGGTCCAAAGGTTCAAAACTTGTGCTATAAACCGAATTGCAAAGCGAACCATATCACAACTGAGAGGTGCTATCTCGCCTCTAGCTTCTTAACATCGTCATACGTTGTTGTTTTGAGCTATATGCTATCATTTTTCAAATCATTGTTTATGTCACTTTTGTGATTTCACACGTATAAAGAGTTTTCATGCACCAAGAGTGACGTCATTGAACACAACCAAATGATTGTATTATTGCGATATTGTTGAATATCTCTTCAGCTTTAGTTCGCCGGCTGTCTTTAAGGTGTTATCGTGTTTTGTTTGGTATGCGTTAGCGGCGTAGGGGACTATATGTCACCAGTGGGCTTCACCCCGCGTAGGCAGCTGGTGCAGATCTGTATGCCTGTGAAACAGGGGCTACGCGCTTTGTCGCAGATGTTCCTCATGGGACCACCCCCTTTCGGTGACGTATGGTTGGTTCTCTAGCCGCGGCAGCGTCCTCGATTTTCTCTGGCTTGGAACTCCGCATTTCTTACTTAACCTTGTAATTGGCACCACTCTTTCAGTGACGCGTTTGGCGACGTAAACCAATGCTATCCTCCTTTCTCATGGTTCATGTTTGTGAAGTTACGTGAAAGCAAAAACCAGCTGAGTCAAAAAGATGGCCGCGCAGAGGGTGCTTGTGACTTCCATCAGCCCGTCTCTAGCACCTTACATGCTGTCCATACTAGAGCCGAATCGTTCATCATAAGATGTCGAGCTAAATGGATAGTGACGAAACTGACCGATACCTAGACAATTAGTATCGGTAGGGAAGGTGTTCAATAACATGCGACCATAACAGAACCGTTGTGTGGGTATACTCGATAAGTTTATATCAATGGTATCAGTTTTTTCAAACAGCCCAATCCGTCGTTTACGAACGTCAGTAATATGAATCACACCCTTGATAGTATTAGCTGCCCACGACCCAAAAATGAAGTCAAATTAAACAAGCTCGGTGTACTCATGGATTAGCAAAAGTTTCACGGAGGAGTACATGCCTTAAAAGATTACGTTCGTTGACGTCTAAACGATTCTTACTAGGGACTTCATAATAGAATCCATGATTATGATGGAATGAACTAGGCGAGAAGAGTGCCCGGCTTATCATTACCTACGGGACCAAGGAAATCTAGCGATTCAGAAGCCCCTTTCTGATTTTACCTGGAGAGTACTATAGCGAGACTGATCACATAATTGATCAACAGAGCTTATAGCCTAAGAGTTGCGCTGCAAAATTTTAGATTGGATTAACACGGAAACACCATTGCCACCTTCTTATGTCCTGCTTTTCATCAGAGATATCCAAGACCTTATCACCTGAAATCCGTTCTTTCATCTGTCTTTTGGAACGAAGCCCTCACGGGCAGCATCAACGGGGAATACAAACTGTTCGGATTCCACATTAATGCGCTAAAAGATAAACGTTAAAGAATTGAGAAAAGGGGGCTCTATCGTAGTCTTGACAGTCCTACATTCCTGACATAGCGACATAGAAGGCATGATCGCTTCCGAAGCAAAAGTTCAAAAGGAATAGAGTATCCCAGTTGGCTGGATTTCTTTTCAGCTTTTGCATCTTTAGTCGACCACCGAAGATGAGAGCATACAATGGAATCACTTTGCTAGCAGTTCGAACTTCGTCTTCATTTTAATGATACAACTGTTTCCGGAACAGAGAAATTGCTTCTTCATTGTGAACGCTTGAAAATCTCTTTACTCTTCTCGGATGGTGCACCTGGGAAGTTGAACATCTTAAAATTTTGTGTAGCAATTTTGCCTGTGTCAAAGTTACGACAAACAAACCTTGTTCAAGTACTTTGACCCGTACATGGCTTATCGGCTGAGTCGGGTACACCAGCATCCCTGCTCTCGCGTGGCTGCCTCGCCTGGACTCTGCACCTCTTTCGCGAACGTGCTCTCTTATCACTTTCCCACCACAAGGGAAAGGCGGAACATCAATCGCTAATTGAACGTGTGATTAGAGATGCGGCAAAAGAGCTGCAGAGTCCAGGCGAGGCGGCCATGCGGAAATGGAGATGCTAGTGCACCCACTCTGCAATTGATAAGCCCTATACATTCTGTTTTTCGCAATTTTTCTAGCTGACTGCATAACCGGCATAGAAAATCTCTGCTGTTCACCTGTATCACCTGTATCCCCGTTGATCATCGTGTTGCACGAGCGGGTACCAGTGATGCCTCCATTCGTCCCTGTCTCGGGCGATTGTTGACCAATGTTTACGTATCGCACCAGGAACACGTGGAACGCTCTGAAGGACTTCATTAAAGGACTTCGTGAACATATCTGACCATCGCGTCGGCGGTCTTCCTCGTTCGCGTTTGACGTCCAGTGGTATCCAATCTGTTACAGCTCTCGTCCACCGGTTGTCGTCGAAACGCATTACGTGCCCGGCCCATCTTATCTTGTTCTGCTTGGCGTACGCGGCAGCGTCCCTGATCTTCGATCGTTGACGTAGGGTAGAACTTCGTAATCCTTGCCTCACTTGCGTGAGTCGATTCACTCCTAGCATCACTCTCTCAACAGCTCGTTCGATGACGCTAACCGCGTGTTCATCCTGCTTTCTCATTGTCCATGTTTCTGAACCGTACGTCAAAGCAGGAAGAACCATCGAGTTGAAAAGGTGGGCGCGGAGCCGGATGTTCTTGGTCTTCTTCACTACGTCCTCAATTGTCTTATATGCTCCCCATGCTGCACGTTTCCTCCTGCTCAGTTCCGAAGCTAGATCGTTCATCATATTGAGTTCACGACCTAGGTAGGTGTAGCTTGAGCATTCGGTGATGTTCGTCCCGTTGAGCATGAAAGGAGCCATCAGGCACTCTTCCGTTCCTCATGAACATCGTCTTCGTTAGATTCAGCCGTAGACCGATCTTTCCACACACTTCGTCAAACTGGGCCAGCATTTGTTCCGCCTGCGTGATGTTTGGTGTTATCAATACGATGTCATCAGCAAAGCGAAGGTGGTGTAGCTGCCGGCCGTCGACTTTCACTCCCATGTTGTCCCATTCCAACTTACGCATGACGTTCTCCAGAGCGGCACTGAATAGTTTCGGCGATATAGTATCGCTTGTCGCACGCCTCTCTTCACGTCAATGATGATGTCCTTGTAGAATGGTGTTATGGTGGTTATGAAGTCGTTATACAGCTCACGAATTATCTTGATGTAATGAGTCGGAATACCTTGATTGCTCAAGGCATCGATGACGGCTTCAGTCTCAACCGAGTCAAAGGCCTTCTTCAAGTCGATGAAGGTGAGACAGAGCGGCATCTTATACTCTCGTGACACTTCAATGAGCCTTGACACCGTGTGAATGTGGTCGATCGTGCTGAATCCTCTTCGAAACCCAGCTTGCTCGCATGGTTGTCCTTCGTCCAACTCTCTTCCGATCCTGTTGAGAATGACTCGCGTAAAGAGTTTGTAGACTACAGACAACAAGCAGATAGGGCGATAATTGCCGATGTCGCAGGGATCTCCCTTCTTGTACAGCAACACGGTTTTGCTGGTCTTCCATTGCCTTGGAACCTTGCCTTCGGTCAGGTACCGCGTGAAGAGCCTTGCCAAAGTCTTGATGAGAACTGGCGAAAGATTCTTCAGATGTTCTGGCTTAATCCTGTCGGGACGGGTGCTGTACGGTTTTTCATCGACATGATAGCATGACGAATCTCGGAAGGAAGAACAGACGGTGCGACATACTCGTCCTCCTTGAGATGGCATGGTGGAAGGTGGACGTGGCTCGCAAAAAGATCCGAGTAGAAGTCATGGATGACCTTCTCCATTGATCTTCGGGAAGCAGTTATGGTTCCGTCAGGACGACGAAGTGCGGTCATCTTTGTCTTGAAGTTGACGAAGCTTCGGCGGGCGTTGCGTATACTTCTTCCAGCCTCCGCGGCGTCGACCATCACTGCTACTCTTCTCTCCTTAAGGTCTTCTTTTATCGCTTCTCTGCATCGCTTCGCAAGCTCGGACGTCAGTCGGTAGTTGCCTGTGGCTCGTGCGCGTCCACGTTGGCGTATCAGCTCCAAAGTCCCCGTGGTGAGACGCCTTCTCGTACTTCTTAGACTCTGAGCTTCCTTGGCACAACCGTGGAGATGTTGTACGAACCGTTCGTATTCTTCGTCGATGTTGTCCATCACGGTATCTCGCCATGAGCCGGATATCGAAGAAAACACCCAGTTGGTGGTATTCATGGGACGATGTTTCCTGAACTTGACGGCTCTCTCTCCATTCCGCGGAAAGTAGAATTTGGCGCGCAGGAGACGATGGTCTGATCCCGTGTAGAACTTCGGAACAACAGCGACGTCCGTCAGGCAGTACCTTCTGTTGACGATGATGTGGTCAATCTCGTTATGGTACTCTCCACAGGGCGATTCCCAGGTCCAGCGTAGGGAAGAGGGCTTTTGGAACTGTGAGTTTCCATGGATAGTCCTCGTCGTCATGATAAACTCGGACAGTCTCTCCCCTTGTTCGTTCCACTGCAAACCATGGGTTCCGATGTGAAGTTCCTCAGTCGACCTTCTAGTTCCGATCTTCGCGTTGAAATCACCGACGATGATCTTGTAGAAGGTATGATCTTCTCTGTAGAACTTCTCCAAGTCCATATAAAATTCCTCGAGTTCGTCCTCGTCGTAGCTGGATGTTGGGGCGTACGCAATGAAGACGGTCAAGGCAGGGATTGATCCACATCTTGATATTCGCAAACGTCCGATTCGAGTTGTAAGTTGTTCGAACGAATCGCGATGTTCATGGCCAAACTCGTGTTGACAAGCTGCTGTTCACTGTACATAAAAATGATATTTTTATTTCATACCGATTCAATGGCACAACACCATTGCTATCGCCAGCGCAACCAGGAGAGCAAGGCTAC